GAGAAAGAGAGTCAGAGACACAGGCTGGGTTGAGGCTTGCGAGGGGCTGCCCCACCCCACCCGTTGTGGCTGCGGTGCAGGAAAAGCACTCTGCACGCCCTCAGAGGCGCCCCCTGTGATTATTCCACGCGGAAAGCCTTCTGGGGTCGAGCCCTGGCTCACCCAGCAGAAAATGCTGGAAAGGGGACTTCCTGTGAGACAGCAGAGGGGAAGGTGAGGAGGTGAAGCCGGCAAATATTAACCAGCTGCCGGAAGCCTTCATGTTGGCTCAGATCAGGGTCAGCCCGGAAGACCTGGAGGCAATTCCTCTGGCCTCTTCCCAGCTGCCCATCCCAGCCAGGTCACCCCTCCTTGATCAAAGGTCCCTGGACAAGGGAGACCAAGGCAGGCAGGAAATGTCTCCTGGACACAACAGCCCCAATTCTGCCAGCACCCAGCCGTGACCAGGTGGTGACTGGTGCCCATTGGGACTGGGGGGGGGTGGAGAGGCCAGGTGGGCAGAGCCTGGACCAATGAGAGGCCAACTCATAGCTTTGACCCCATCCTCTTTCCCCATGCTGATTTTTAGGAGGGCCAAAATGAGGCGAAGGAGGACGCTGAGGGGCCAGGGCTTGTGAGAGCCATTGTGGTGCAGTGGTTAGAGTGTTGGCCATGGGGCTCGCCGGGTCTGACCTTGGGGGCCGGTCCCTTCCTCTCTCAGCCACAGGGTTGTTGTGGGGATTAATTGAGAAGAGATCTTGAGCTCCTTCGAGAAAAAAAGATGATATATCTAAGTGCAGGGAGAAAGAGCAGGCAGGAGCTGGCGGGGGGCAGGTGGGGAAGGGCCCCATTCCCCCTATGGACCAGCCCTCAATGGCTGCAATTGTGCATGGAGGGAGGGGGTGACTGTGGAGCAATGCCCCCCCCTTTATGCCTCCTCTGCCAGAAAAGAGCCGCCTTCATCCCTTGGAGAAAAGCAAAGGGAGATTCCCAGCTGAAGCCACATCCTCTCTTGCTCAAGATCCTGATCATCTCCCAGAAACGAGGGTTGGAGACGCCTTCCCTGCTCCCGTGGGACAACCCCTTCTGAGCGAAGTCCCAGGCTGTATCAGTGGGGCCTGCTCTCTGAAGAACTTCACTCCGATGCCTCTGCCCCATCCGTGCCCCTCCTCCCCTCTGCCTAGGACCCTTCTCATCAGGCCAATGGGCCACCTAGGCCAGCATCCTGTTCTCACAGTGCTGCTTTTGACTGTGGCTGGTGGCCCTTACCGTATTTTTCGCTCCATAAGACGCACTTGACCATAAGAAGCAGCTAGTTTTTAGAGGAGGAAAACAAGAAAAAAAATATTCTGAACGAAACAGTGGATGTATGATTTTTGTGGTTCAATGCCTGTGACCACAGACAAGATAAGTGATTTGATGGTGAGTTTGGGGGTAGCCCAATGCAAAAAATTCGAGGATCCATGTGGATCTGTGCTTTGTAACCATGTTTTGCGCCATTGGCGGCCCCACAAAACAGTGGGTGGCGTGATATTTTTTTTGGTGTAGGCTGTAGCCATGGACATGCTATATGATCTGATGGTGAATTTGGGGTGACCCGATGCAAAAATCCTGAGGATCCATGGGCTTTTACCTCCCCCCTCCCAGGCAGCCTCCTTTATCACTAGCCTCCCTTATCTCCCTCCCAATCGCTTGCCGATCAGCTGCTTCCTTTCAACACCCCTTTCCCTTTTTCTTAAAAAAAAGCACGATCTGCTTTTGCCCCTGGGCAATTCAGCTCCAGGGACCACACATGGCGCTCCATAAGAAACGCGCAGACAGTTCCTCTTACTTTTTAGGAGGTGGATAAAAGTGCGTCTTATGGAGCGAAAAATACAGTAATAGTCCTCTCCTCCTCCATGAATTTGTCTAATCTCTTTTAAGCCATCGAAGCTGGTGGCCACCTCTGCTTCCTGTGCAGGGAGTTCCACAGTCTAACTCTGTACTGCATGAAGAAGGCTTTATTTGGCCTGTCCTAGAATCTTCCAACCTTCAGCTTCATTGAACATCTAGGAGTTCAAGTGTTATGAAAGAGGAGGAAATCTTTCTCTTTCTAATTAATTAATTTAGACAAAGCTTTGTAAAACACTAAGCAGAAGAAGGAGTGGAGTTAATCAGAGTGCAGGACCAAGAAGTCATTTTTTGCCATGAATCACTGGTCGGTTCCCAAGCCTTCACGTCTGGTTTGAGTTTAGCAAGTTGAAAGAGACATGCTGTTGTGTGTTTGGTACATCTTCTTTAGAATGAGCCTGTTGCATGCGGTCAGATAGACTTTGCAGGTTTTGGAATTAAGACCAGAACCTCCTGGAACTCTTTGGCCACAGGCAATGTTGGGAAGAGAGTCCTGCGCCGTGAGACACAACCCTTCTTCCATGCTCCCTTCAGCTCTCTAAAAAACTGTCGCTTATTTTCATCCTAGCAGCAACTAGGAACTTCACTGTGTGGTGGGAATTAAGAACCACCTAATTAAAGTGGCTTAGTCATGCTGGCCACATGACCCGGAAGCTGCACGCCGGCTCCCTCGGCCAATAAAGCGAGATGAGCGCCTCAACCCCAGAGTCGGCCACGACTGGACCTAATGGTCAGGGGTCCCTTTACCTTTTAATTAAACGGTAGTGATGTATGGAAGTGAGAGCTAGACTATAAAGAAGGCTGATCGCCGAAGAATGGATGCTTTTGAATTATGGTGCTGGAGGAGACTCCTGAGAGTCCCATGGACTGCAAGAAGATCCAACCTCTCCATTCTGAAGGAAATCAGCCCTGAGTACTCACTGGAAGGACAGATCCTGAAGCGGAGGCTCCAAGACTTTGGCCACCTCATGAGAAGAGAAGACTCCCTGGGAAAGACCCTGATGTTGGGAAAGATGGAGGGCACAAGGAGAAGGGGACGACCCGAGGACGAGGTGGTTGGACAGTGTTCTCGAAGCTACAGCATGAGTTTGACCCAACTGCGGGAGGCAGTGGAAGACAGGAGGGCCTGGCGTGCTCTGGTCCAGGGGGTCACAAAGAGTCGGACACAACTCAACGACTAAACAACAACAACAATGAAACAGTTCTCATGTCCTTGTCCAATGCAGGGGGTGTGTGTGGTTTCAGCCAGATGTCCCTTGGGGTCTCTTCCAACTCTACAATTCCCTAATTCCATAATTAGTGTTGAAGCAACAGAAGATGGCAAATGTAGGTTGAGAGAAAGATCCTTTTCAGACCTTCCCACCCAAGGGTCTCTTGCCCATTTGCAAAAAAAAAAAAAAAAGCCACAGCAATCAGCTCTTGGCCACTCAGATGCAAAAGAACTGGGGGGGGGGGCAGGGGTTTAGAGTTGGGATTTGTTGAAGGAAAGGAAGGCAGGACTAGTCCACCTCCTCTGGCCCATGGAGAGGACTTGGGTGAAAACAGGGAGGGGGGCAGCAGGTTATCCAGGACCACATCAAGGCCAAGGTATCTCACCACTGGTGTCTCTGAATACTAGTTGCTGAGGGTCACAGTTGGGGGCTGCTGTTGCTGCGCTTGCATCCTGCTTGAGGCTGTGGTCTAAACCACTGAGCCTCTTGGGCTTGCCGATCAGAAGGTCAGCAGTTCAAATCTGAGCTCCCGTTGCTCTGTCCCAGCTTCTGCCAACTTGGCAGTTCGAAAGCACACCAGTGCAAGTAGATAAATAGGTACTGCTGTGGTG